AGACTAATGTGACTTTACACGCATAAAAGACAACAATGGGGAATGGAATAACTTCTACTCACTACTCATACAACAATATGATTATTATGTATAAGTTTTAACTTATTACCTCTAAATCATCATGAAATCTAGAGTCTAGACTACTAATTACTGGCCAATAATCATATACTACATTGAGGATGAACATGGGGACCCTGAGGTTGGAACCTATGTTAAGGGAAAAAGAATAAAAAATAATATGTTAAAAATATATTTCAAAAAGACGCTATTTTATACTAATTTCTCAAGCAAATCAGAAAGAATTCTTACAAAAGTCAGAATCCTTAAATTACAGAAACAATGTACTTACTTGATGCATCATGAATGACTCTCTACAAATGAAGATATCAACATAACACTGGAAAATTCTTTGGAAATAACAATTGTTTTTCATGTATTTTCATCAGGTTAATAGTCATTTATCAAGAACTTGTAGATCCTACAAACCATCCTGAAAAACATCAGATTCATCAGCCGTTTCATCTGCACCAAAGCTTTTTCTCTATCTTCATCACTATACTCTAATTTAGATGGTTCTTCCTAATCATTTTCGTCAAGATAAGCTTCAAGTGGCTAACTTGTCGAGTTTTCCCTTTTATTGGCAATGCACCCAATATCAAGAGATTTGAGAAAACACAACAATCTATCTCGAACCCAGATGAGAAGAAAAAAATCAAACCTCGAAAATGAAATAAACAAAAATATATAAGAAAACAAAAACAAAATAATCAATGGGACTCACAAAAAAACTCATGGACTTCATCATTAAAAGAAATTGATGAAACAAAGCCCAAAACCTTGGCGTTTATGTCAAAGAAATCCGCATCAAACACAAATTTACATGGTTTTATCTTCGATTCAGTTAACATGACGATGCTATGAGAGTTGAAGCTAAACTAACCTCTCTGTTTTCATCAAGGGTCCGTCAGGATAAGCAGTGGGTTTGATATATTAACCCTTAACTTGTGGATGGTGGTTGTGACGAAGGTGGTGGCAGGCGGTGACTTTGGTGGAATACTGAGATCGAGTACCAATTGCTCGGCTAACTGCATTTTTCGATCGATATTTTGATTTCCTCGACGATGTTTGGGAACACAAACAGATATGTGGTAATTTCGCGTATGAAAAAAAACTCAAAAAAGGGTCTCTATTCGGAACATAAACAGAATATTGATTGAAAAAACTCAATCGCAACTCCAAGACCAATTACAAAAAAGAAATTACACCCAAATCGATTGTAGCTTAGTTTAAATCCAAAATCAAAGGCTAATTATCTGGATGTATCGTTTCGAACGTTGTTTCTTGCAACAAACCATTGATGGAGAGGGAAGAGGATTAAGGTTTAAGAGATAATCTTTAAAGAATCAGAGAGCTCTGTGTATATGAATTCAATTTGATTCATTGTGAATACGTTACAAACAATATATACC